AAGATGCTGCAGGAGTAGAGAGCTAATCTGACTTGGGACTTTGAACCAAGCCTGGACAGTATAAGGTCTTTCTACAGGTTCTCACTTCTCATATAGGGTTTGTGCAGCCAAGAGTCATTACGAAATGGTGGTTCCCAGGGGCGCATGGTTGCATCACAGTTTATCCTTGTTCAATTCATGTCTCGTTTTTCTGAGGTTGTCTATGATGTAAGACCTATGGAGGAACCTGCTGACTTCTCATGTTTGTTCCATTCAGTCCTTCATTGACCATTTCTTTGAGTGCTCTCTATAAAGCAGGCACATTGTTCATAGTACCCAAATATGTGAATTCCGGGCCCTGCCCTTCCTGGATGAAAGGTGTGGTGAGAGATGTATCTGCAAGCAAGCATTTAGGCTATGTGCTGCTTCTGGGTATCCAAGGCACTTTGAGGGCTTTAAGCAGGTAGGGCTAACTACTGGTGGCACACAGGAGAAGGAAATCCTTTTTAAGGTATGTGACGTCTGTGTTGAATGTTGAAGGCCAAGGCGTTGACACCTGACTTCCAGCCCTGCAAGTCTGCATCTGCACCCAACCTTGGCTCATCCCCTAATTGCCAGTTTTCTGGTGTCTGAAATGGGAGGACAGTGTCTACCTATCCTGTCTCTGGAGGCCGAAGCAAGGCCAGTGAGACTGTGTGGACACTTCCCTGTCTGGGGGTTCTCCCATGTGCCCCAGCAACCTGAGCCTGCAAGACAGTGGGTTGGCTAAGGTTTGAGGTTCAGTGTGTGACTGTGAACTTCAGGTGTGTCCCTTTTAGATCAGACCAAGACATTCTTCTCTAATCGAGTTTGTCATTGTAGTTCAATTCTGAGTAAATCCTAGTTCTTTCTCTTGCCAACTGTGAGCTTGCAGAGATTATTTAACCAATTAGAATCTCAGGTTTCTTATCTGCAAAATGAAGATGATAATTGTATTCTCCTATTTTCACATTGCTATGAATAAATCCCTGAGACTGGGTAATTTATAAAGAAAAGAGGTTGAATTGGCTCACGGTTCCACAAGCTGTACAGGAAGCATGATACTGGCATCTGCTCGGCTTCTGGGGAGGCCTCAGGAAACTTACAATCATGGTGGAAGGTAAAGGGGGAGCAGGCACTTCATGTGGCCAGAGCAGGAGCAAGAGTGAGCGGGAGAGGTGCCATACACTTTTAAACAACCAGATCTTGCTAGAACCCTCACGAGAACAGCACCAAGGTGAGGGTGCTAAACCATTCATGAGAAACCACCCCCATGATCCAATCACCTCCCACCAGGCCCCACCTCCAACACTGGGGATTACAATTCAACATGAGATTTGGGTAGGGACACAGATCTGAACTGTATCAGCAATAGCAAATTCTTCATCAAGTGGTTGTGAGGAGCCATGAGTAGGACCCATCATGTTCCAAACATGGTGAAGGGGTGTCATATGATAAATTATCAAAGAAAATATTAGCAAATATTTTAATTCTATTGTCTAAATTTCTGTCACTTATACTGTAACTTTTACTACCTTTTCAAGCAAACTTTCAATCTAATATGAATATAGAGTTTTGATGTTATATTTCACATATGTTCTATCTGGACCTGTAATACACATTTAAGAACAACAGGGATGGCCTCATACTGTAACGTGTTCCTTGGCTGCTATGTGCAAGTGTTGTGAGTTTCGAGGACCTCCTGAACTGCATGTTGAGACATGAAAAGAAGCAAGCACATAGACACTTGGCACCACTGGGAAACGGTGCTTTCTTGTGCAGGAATGAAGAATATTTGTGTATCTGAAAGGAAGGAGTTGACTGATTCATGAACCTTTTTCTCTCCTCCAAGCGTTCTATGGCTCAAATCCTCCCTGCACTCTGAAGCAGCCCTATCATGGCCCCTGCCATCTTCTCAGTGACAAAGCCCTCAAATGCTCAGGTCTTTCAGACATGGTTGCCTGTTCTTTCAAGGACTTAGGGCAAGGATGTGGGGAAGCATTTCCCTGGACTGAGGGTGGCACTTGCCCGAGGCTTAGGCTGGCACTGCTCTGTAGCCTAAAACTGCATAACCATTCGGCAGTCCCTTCCAAATCCAACCCATCAACCTATTAATTGGGATGTGGATTAATACTGCCAGGAGGTGTTCTGTTTCTCCGTGTGTTCCTTTGGAAGTCTGATGACAGCGTTTTCCACTTGTTTTTTCTCATAGGAACTGGTGAAAGTGGGAAAAGCACCTTTATCAAGCAGATGAGAATTATCCATGGGTCTGGTTACAGCGATGAAGACAGAAAGGGGTTCACGAAGCTGGTTTACCAAAACATATTCACTGCCATGCAAGCCATGATCAGAGCGATGGACACGCTAAGGATACAATATGTGTGTGAGCAGAATAAGGTAACATGCTTAGAGGGTACTTGTCCTATTTGTGAATGTGTGCCTGCCCACTCTGGTTAGCACAAAGATTCCCTGAGTGCTTTGGTCAGATGCCAGAAGAAGCTCTTGATCCCTGGGGTGGGGATCATCGAGAGGAGTTTGAGGAATTTAGTTAGCCCCCCAGTCTTCTTTCTGCAGGACTTCTCTCATGGTGCTAGCGTGAGGCTACCCAGCATGCAGGGATTCCAAAGTTTGGACTGTTATTTAGGTTGCTTATTTCCGGCGCAGAGAAAAGGAAGTCATACATTTTCTCTTTCTGCCTAGAGACCCAGTTAATTTCTTCACTGGAGCCATGGGGACATTGGGTTTACAGTGGCCAGCGTTTCAAGAATTCCCAGTCTCAGGAAATGGTTTCACTAATTGGTGCAGACTACTCAGAGAAATCAGTGGGTTTTGTTTGTTTGTGTTGGGAGTTCACCCATCTTGGGAACTAAGCGAAGGCTCATGAGTACAATGCTAATGGCCCAGCCAGCAATGTGCTTCTGTAAAGTGCTGGTGTCAAGCTGCCATTTGCTTTCCCCTCACCACCAGTTATTTAAAATACAAATCTGCTGAAAACCGGAGGAAAATAATGAGGCAGGAATGAGAGAGAAGGAAAATAAAATTTTATATGGTCCATTGGAATGCAAATCCAAAGGAGAATAATACTGTGCCTGAGTTCATTAAGCAACTATATTAGAAATCAGAGTTTATTTAAAATAATTGATACCAAATTACAACATTACATGATGATAAAGAGAAAAATTCTGTGTCAGATGAGTCTCTCGTGGGTCTGTGAAAAAGGAATTTAGCTAGTAAAATGCCAGAATTGCATGGGCTTTAATATGGACCCCTAAGGACAACTTTATTATGAACTTGTGGCACCTACACTCATATATATATGATTAAAAAGACTGGGCGTGGTGGCTCACACCTGTAATCCCAGCACTTTGGGAGGCCAAGGCAGGCCGATCAGGAGATCGAGACCATCCTGGCTAACACAGTGAAACCTCATCTCTACTAAAAAATACAAAAAATTAGCCGGGTGTGGTGGTGGGCGCCTGTAGTCCCAGCTGCTCAGGAGGCTGAGGCAGGAGAATGGTGTGAACCCAGGAGGCAGAGCTTGCAGTGAGCCAATATCACACCATTGCACTCCAGCCTGGGCCACAGAGCGAGACTCCGTCTCAAAGAAAAAAAGTTTTAAAGCAATCAATTTAAATTTTTATGGGATTACATAGTAAAACACAGTAGGCACCAAATTTTAGACTTACCTTTACCTCCTCTCTACAATCTATGTCTTTACCATCATGTCCTTGCAGCCCTGAAGAAATGAAGGAACACATCTTGCCTACAATTTCACCCTGCAACAGAGTTATGCTAAAAATTGTGTGGGGTGGACCGGGCACGGTGGCTCACGCCTGTAATCCCAGCACTTTGGGAGGCCGAGGCAGGTGGATCATCTGAGGTCAGGAGTTCGAGCCCAGCCTGGCCAACATAGTGAAACCTCGTCTCTACTAAAATTACAAAACATTAGCTGGGCATGGTGGCGGGCGCCTGTAATCCCAGCTACTAGGGAGGCTGAGGCAGGAGAATCACTTGAACCCAGGAGGTGGAGGTTGCAGTGAACCGAGATTGTGCCATCGCACTCCAGCCTGGGCAACAAGAGTGAAACTCCATCTCAAAAAAGAAAACAAAACAAAACAAAAAAATTGTGTAGGGTGAATTAGCCTACAGCAAGGGTATCCAATCTTCTGGCTTCCCTGGGCCACATTGGAAGAATTATTTTGAGCCACACATAAAACACACTAATGCTCACAATAGCTGATGAGCTTAAAAAAAAAATTGCAAAAAATCTCATTCTGTTTTAAGAAATCTCATTCTGTTTTATGAATTTGTGTTGTGCTGCATTTAAAACTGTCCTGGGCTGCATGTGGCCCGGGGACCATGGGTTGGACAAGCTTGGCCTACGGTATATCTGGTATGAAGTAAGCTGAGAGGCACACACTGAGCCACTAGGAGATTCTAGAAGTGACTGAGATGATTCCTTTATACATTGCTGTATCTTTTTGAAAAGGTATAGTTCTTTTTTTACTTACCCTTTCTAATGTACTGTCAAAATTAGGCTTTCTGTGGAGATTTAAGATTACTTCAGAGAAGTGGCATGGCAGGAATGTTCTTGGGGGTGATTTCAGTTCATCTGTTTTCCCCTGTTGTAAAATGCATTTTGTTTACCAGTCGTGCTGAGGTGACTGGGCGAAGCTTGGAATTCAAGGATGGGTTTGTAAACAGACCTACTGGGGAGAAAAGGCTCATGTGTAAGCCACTTCTGCTTACGTTGGCAGCAGCGTTTGTAAAACCTCATCAGCTTAGTTATCAAGGCCTCTAGGTTTTTGCTTTTGTTTTGTTTTACCTCTTGATCTTCTAGACGTACTTAGTTTATATTTTAAACAAAATGGTTTTATGTGGTTTGACATCTACCACTGTCTCCTTTTCTCTTGACCTTAATTCTTTTGTCTAGGCCATCTCTGTTTGCCCGCTAATCTGTATTAGTTTCCTAGGGCTGTTATAACAAAGTACTTAAGATTGGATGGCTTAAGACAGAAATTTATTGTTTTTACAGTTCTGCAAGCTAAAGGGCCAAAACCAAGGTTGATTGGTTCTGACTGGAGGCTCTGAGAGAATCTATTGCCGGCTTTTTCCCTAGCTTCTGGTGGTGGCTGGAAATCCTTGCTGTCCGTTAGCTTGTAGATACTTGCCTCCAGCCTCTGCCTCTGCCTTCGTCTGGCATTCTCCCCTGTGTCTGTGTGTCCATGGCACTGTCCTCTCTGGGTCTGTGTCCAAATTTCCCTTTTCTTATAAGAACACCAGTCGCTGGATTACGGTCCACCCTAATCCAGTATGACCTTATCTTATCTTGCTTGCATCTACAGAGACCCTCTTTCCAAATAAGGTTACACACTCTGAAGTTTTGGGTCAGCATGAGCTTCGGGGGAACACAATTCAACTCCTCTGGCTCCCCAAGATTCATGTCCATCCCATGTGCAACATACATCCACTCCATCCCAACATCCCTAAAAGTCAACCCATTCCAGCATCAAATCTAAGACCCTAATTCTAATCCAAATATCAACTCAAAAAGTCCCAAATCAGGCTGGGCACAATGGGTTTTACCTGTAATCCCAGCACTTTGGGAGGCCGAGGTGAGTGGCCATCTCTTGAGCCCAGAGTTTTGAGACCAGCCTGGGCAACATGGCTAAACCCCATCTCTAAAAAAAAAAATACAAAAATTAGCTGGGTGTGATGGTGCATGCTTGTAATCCCAGCTACTCGGGAGGCTGAGGTGGGAGGATCCACTGAGCCTGCGAAGCGGAGGTTGCAGTGAGCTGAGATGGTACCTCTGCACTCCAGCCTGGGGACAGAGTGAAACTCTGTTTAAAAACAAACAAACAAACAAACAAACAAAAAATCCCAAATCTCATTGTCTAAATTAGGTATGGGTGAGATTCTGGGTACAAACCATCCCAGGCAGGATTCCTCTCCATCCATTACTGTGAAACTAGGATACAAGTCCATTGTACCTCCCGTCTCCTCCTTACTTGCCATGTCTGGCTCAAGTATCTCAATTCCTGTTGTATAAACTTTCTCAAACAGACACCTGAGATGAACTGAATGCTAAAATGGCTTAAGGAGAGGCAGAAGGTGGAATGGAAAGAACACTGGATTGGCTCTAAAAAATCTGGGCTTTGCTCATAGTTCCACTGTGGGTCTAGGGCTGGAGTCTGCAAACTTTTCTGTAAAGGGCCAGGGAGTCAATATTTGTGGGCTATATGATCTCTGTTGGAACTACCTAGTTCTGCTGTTGTAGTGCAGAAAGCAGATATAGGGAATATCTAATAAGTAAACAAATAAGTGTGGCTCAGTTATAAACTCTACTTACAGAATTTATAGTAAGAATAGTAAGTTAAGAATACAGTTGAGAATAGTAAGAACTATTTTTGATTCATGGGCCATGCAAAAAATCCACAGTCCATGAGTGGATTTAATCAATGGGCTGTACTTTGCTGACCCTGGTCCTCGGGAAGCTGTACTGTTTCTGTTTTTCCATTTTCTTATCTGTTAAATGAGACATGCTCTGTCTACTTTATAAGCCAATATGAGCAAAAGGAAGTGATTTACAAATTAAATGACCCTCAAGAAACACAAGGTTATTATTGGAGCAGGTTCAAAAATCAGAAATAGGCTCATTTTCTTTTTATTACTTGTTTAGGTCATTTTCATCAACTTATTCTCTATCATTTTCCTCTGGCTATTATTTCTAATAATTTTTTCTCAGGGCTAGTCTTGATTCCAAACATGAAACTGTAACAAAGTACCATGCTTAGGTCATAAATGATAAAATGATTGGTGGTTCAGTCATATTCAGTGATAGTTTAGGAGGCACGCTATATTATGTTACCTTCTTTACAAAGTATTGTATAACTTGAAACAATTGATTAGTTATGGCAGGGATGAACAAAACTTTAGCTTTTATTTTCACAGTGGTGCAGTCTTCTCATTTCTTATTGCTGAGTATTTCTCTATTATCTGCTGTTTTTTCTGTTTGTTTCTGTTTTTGTTTCAGAGCTAGGAACATTTTCTTATGTATTTAGAAGAGAATTAAAAGTGGTTTTAGAGGGTTTTATTTTAATTGTTAGTGAGATTATTGCTCAGCTAGGCTGTTGAAAGTCTTTGCCTATTACTTGACAGGCCACTTATTAAAGGAAATTTATCGGAAATTCAGTTCCGCATTTGTTTTTTTAACTAACATGTTCTTTCAATTAAGATATAGCCTTGAAGATTTTTTCTTATACCTTGCCTGCTTATTTTATTAAGAAAGAAATGATTCATATGTATTTGCTCACTCTGTTGATAAACCTTAATTTTTATGAATGTCTCTCAAGAGTGTTTTATGGGCGCAATTCAAATTTATGACTTCTTGAATAAATATTACAAAGGCATTTGCTCAGTGGCAGGGTTCCTAAGTCTTGTTAGTTTATAATTCATGTTTACTTGTGATGATTTCACAGAAGCCTGAAAAGCATCATAATTTTTGCTGTTTGCAGTCTCTTGAACTTGGGAAATTCTCATTCTAGTCCTGTCCTACGGTGAAGGAAAAAAATTTGAACCCCTTAAAGGTTCTGTAGAATCTGTTCACATGATGTAGATACAGAATTTCCCAAGGGCAAAGGTCAGCCCCACCTGACATCTCAAAAACGCGTTAGTTCCATATTCAGTAATCACAAGAAAAAAAGAAGGCCTACGGGCTCTTCACAGCTGACCCTAGCTCCCTTGCTGCCCTTCTGCTCTGCTTATAGGAGTGCTAAACTACACTGGGGTCATGTCATATTTGCGTGGGACTTTAATTGTAAGGGCAATCGTGACAAGAACCAAAACAAATTTTTTAAAGAAGAGGTAATAGTTGATATGGTTTGGATCTGTATCTCTGCCCAAATCTCGTGTTGAATTGTAATCCCCACTGTTGGAGGTGGGGCCTGGTGGGAGGTGATTGGATCATGAGGGTGGTTTCTCATGAATGGTTTAGCACCATCCCCTTGGTGCTGTCCTCATGACAGTGAGTGAGTTCTCACGAAATCTGGTTGTTTGAAAGTGTGTGGCACCCCCTCCCTCCCCTGCCTTGTTCCTGCTCTGGTCATGTGATGCGCCTGCTCCCCCTTCACCTTCCACCATGATTGTAAGTTTCCTGAGGCCTTCCCAGAAGTCGAGCAGATGCCAGCACCCTGCTTCCTGTACAGCTTCCAGAACCATGAGCCAATTAAACCTATTTTCTTTATAAATTGCCCAGTGTCAAGTATTTCTGTTTAGCAATGCAAGAATGGACAAATACAATAATTAAACAGTAAGGGGATTATTTTGCCTGCCATTCCACTCTAAGTATCTAATTTAGAAGGCAATGTTTCTAGAAGTGTGAGGACTGGATTTGTCTTTAGAAAGCATTTTGCTCTTCCATTAGAAGCTTTTGCTGCATTCAAAATTCAGTTGAGACTATGGACTTGAGCCATCTGGTCAACCACCACTCTTAAAAGGTTGAATGTTTTCATTTGAATTGACTCACAAGGCCTCTGCTAATTTTGTTTGAAATTTTTGCAGGTCCCACATTTGGGATGCCTTTATCACTCAGTCCCTTGGAGTTCCTCTTCTTCCTGCTGCTGGGTTTATCAGGCACTAGAACATCCCAAACAATGATTCTCAGTCTTGGCTGCACATTGGAATCGCCTGTGGGGCTGTTAGGCCAAGGCTAAGACTATCATCCCCACAGACTCAGAGTTAATGCTCTGGAAGGCAGCCTGAGCATGTGGATTGAGTTGTAGGTCCCTCCCAGGTGATTCTGATTGAGCAGCCAGGGTCGAGAACCACTGATAAATATGTGTCTTGACATAATTTGAAGGGGTTCAATTTGGATTCTGCTTTCCTGTCAACCTTTCCACAGCAGGGAGGGAGACTTCTGGCAATCTTTTCCGTGGAATGACCTAATTAATCTCCACCCAAAGGCAAATGCTGTTTGTTTCCTTTGAGTCTTTCAGGGACAGAGCACAGCCTCATGCCCAGAGCTCCGGCTCTGAGATGCAGATGGGGGCAGAGGAAGAAGCTGCACCTCATTCTCTCAAGATCACATCAGTGGCGCCTTCTCGCCTTCCTTCTCCTACTGTTGCTACATAGAAAGCGTAATTTCCTTTTGATGGATAAGACAATCAGAGATGCAGATTGTGTTAATAACAGGTTGAAGGTGTAGGTTTTGTTTATAATAAAAATATCGTATGGGCCACGCCTGTAATCCCAGCACTCTGGGGGCCGAGGCAGGCAGATTGCCTGAAGTCAGGAGTTCAAGACCAGCCTGGCCAACATGGTGAAACCGTGTCTCTACTAAAAAACATATAAAAATTAGCCAGGCACGGTGTCACATGCCTGTAGTCGCAGCTACTCTGCAGGCTGAGGCAGGAGAATCGCTTGAACCCAGGAGACAGTGGTTGCAGTGAGCTGAGATCGCGCCATTGCACCCCAGCCTGGGTGACAGAGCGAGACTCCATCTCAAAAATGTATATATACCATATGATTTTGCTTGTGAGTAAATAAAGACATTATATTAGGAAATTAAATAGTTTGTATTTTTACTAATCATTAATACATATTTTGATTTACTGAGATAATTCATCAAGTAAAAAACATAAGCATCAAATATCTAACTTCACATTTAAGCAATCAAGTGTGGTATTTTGGGGGCGGGATCATGGGAGAGTATATTTCTAACACCAGAAAGCCCTTCGATAAAATCTCACATGTATGCATAAATAACTCCTCCAGATTTACTTTCCATTCTCAGAAAGTGGAAGGCTGAATTTCCAGGAGAATTTCAGGAGAATTTCTTAAAGACGCGCGTGAGGAAATCAGGCAGAGTTCAGTGAAAATGGTCAATTTCTGACACTTTTTTATTGGAGAGTTTCTCAGGGCTGGGAGTATTTTAAGAACCTTTTATGTTCTACTTTTTAAAACATCTGTTTAAATATATTTTTCTATCCCACTTCCTCATCCAATTTGAAAAATTCAGATTCTGCCTGAACCTTTGGGAACACAGAGGCCGATGTTCCAAGTTTGACCATGGCCCAGGGTTTGCTGGTTCTCTGGCGAATGTTAAACTCAGGCCGTGCTTCCCACGTCCTGGTGGGTGTTAAAAATCGCATGGTCCATTTTTCTTCTTACCATGTACTCTGTTGAGCTCTACCTGTTGTCACACCACCACCAACAAACAACAAATTCTCCACTAAAACTCTAGGCAGGAGCTTCTCCATTTATCCCAACAGTTTTCTGATTAATCAATGCTTACTTTAGTGTGAAAACAGCTGTAATCAGAGCTTGAAATAGAAGAGTGTGGAAAATGGGAAAGAATAAGATGGAAAGAAACTGAACTTTCTTCTTGATTGCCATCACAGTTAAACCACCCCCTTCCCTTTAAGCCTGAACTGGGATAGGAGGAAGTTTGGGAGCCAGTGATGAGTAATAACATTGATTTGACCATTGAAATGTTAATAAATTCTTCCCCTACCTCAAAACTGAGTATGAACCTACCACATCCAAAGAAATGCTTTTAAAACCTAATGAAAAAGGGAGATGCTGCAAAGTTACAAACAATCCGGAAACTAGTGAGGCCATCATTCTATTGGAACACTTCTGCATCCATTCAACACATGTGAAATATTTTTCTGAGTCTTTTAAATTGCAAGCACAGGAGGCTGAGGCAGGAGAACCACTTGAACCCAGGAGGTGGAGGTTGCAGTAAGCCAAGATGGCGCCATTGCACTCCAGCCTAGGCAACAGAGCAAGACTCCATCTCAAATGAATGAATGAATGAATGAATGAATAAAAATAGCATTCAACTTTATATTGCTCTCCTAAAATATAAAGGGGAACATGTGAAACACTCTCATAATTCACACCTTTTGTGAATGTTAGAATCATTATCATTGATGCTAGGAACATGGTCATAGATCCAAAATTCTTCAGAATGTGTTTTCCCACAGCAGAGCTGTGCCCCAGTTCTTTGGCAGTAAAAAGGCGACAGAGGTGTGTCTGTGCTGTTCTCCTTTCAGAATTGCCTTTTCTGAACATCCAGTTACTTCACTGATCAATGAATGCCTCAAACATGTACCAAGAGGTAAATTCCCCTTTTGGGGTTGTTTCGGAGTCCTGCCAAGAGATTCAGGTGTTCATCTGGTATTAGTGAATTTAGGGGCAAATTTGCTTATTAACTGGTTAATAAGCTCTGCAACAGTATCCTAAGCAAAATATTCTAGAAAGCATCCCCTCTGTATTAAAAGTTTTAAAAAAATTAAATTTGAGAGGTAAAAATGCAGTTTTATTGCATGGCTATGTCGCATAGTGGTGAAGTCTGGGATTTCATTTTTTTATTTTTATTTTTTTGAGATGGAATCTCACTCTGTTGCCCAGGCTGGAGCGTAGTGGCACCATCTTAGCTCACTAGAACCTCCACCTCCGGGTTCAAGTGATTCTCCTGCCTCAGTCTCCCAAGTAGCCGGGATTACAGGCACCCACCACCACACCCGGCTAATTTTTGTATTTTTAGTAGAGATGGGGTTTCGCCATGTTGGCCAGGCTGATCTGGAACTCTTGATCTCAGGTGATTCGCCCGCCTCAACCTCCCAAAGTGCTGGGATTACAGGCATGAGTTACCACGCCTGGTCTGGGCTTTTAGTGTGACCATCACCAAGTAGTGTACATTGTACCCATTAAGTAATTTCTCCTCCCTCACCACCTCCCCACCCTTCCTAGTCTCCAGTGTCTATTCTTTCATACTCTGTGTCCATGTGTACACATTATTTAGCTCCCACTTATAAGTGAGAACATGAATTATTTTACTTTGTTTAAAAGCTTTTTTAAAAAAAATTGGTGGTAGGGAAGGGGACATGTGTTTCAAACAGAATACATGAACTAATCTGATAGAAACAAATTGTTAAAAGGTTTTTGGCTTTGGTTTCGTTTTAATTTTTTTTTTCTTTTTTTGAGACAGAGTCGTGCTGTGTCACCCAGGCTGGAGTGCCGTGGCACAATCTCAGCTCACTGCAACCTCCGCCTCCCAGATTCAAGTGATTCTACTGCCTCAGCCTCCCGAATAGCTGAGAATACAGGTGCCCGCCACTACACCCAGCTAATTTTTGTATTTTTAGTAGAGATAGGGTTTCACTATGTTGGCCAGGCTGCTCTCGAACTTCTGACCTCAGGTGATCCACCTGCCTTGGCCTCCCAAAGTTTTGAGATTACAGGTGTGAGCCACCTCGCCCGGCCTCTGTTTTTGTTTTATCAGTAAACCTGCCTTTAGAGTAAAAAGCATATTCGTTAGAAGCTAAGACAGTTTGCTTTTTTAACTGATGCTTCTTTTTAGCAGCTACAGTGTTTTCAGGGAGCTTTGTGACATTGTATCTTGTGTGCTTAACCTTGATTTCTGACACCAAAACTCTGTCGGGTTTAATTTAAGATGAGCTAAAACTGATGTAAAATACCTTTCACATTTAACTTTGTATTTTCCCTAAATCAAATTTTAAAATAATGGCACTTTTTTTTTTTTTAAATGACACTTTCTATCGATCTGTAATTAGAAGTAAAGTTATGGACTGGCTTATGTAACTTGGCCATTTGTATGACCTGGTTAGGAAGTTATTTGCCTCTGTGTGTGGGTATACAATTCATTAAGGATAAGAAGATGACTGACGTTTCTAAATTTTCTTTTAAGAAAACACCACTAGTGTTCTAGTCATTTGCATAGTTAAGTTGTGGTTAATTGTAAAAAGGTTGAAGACGACAGGAATAACTCTACGTGTATTTTGAGTGCCTCTAAGTTACCTGCCTTCCTTTTATCCTGAAGGCAGTAGAAGTGGTTGAAAGATGGCATGTGGGAGACCATTATGATTGAGTAGTGGTGGCCCCCAGTTCTCCCCAAGGCTCTGAACTGGTGGTAGGGAAGGGGACATGTGTTTCAAACAGCATACATGAACTAATCCGATAGAAACAGATTGTTAAAAGGTTTTTGGCTTTGGTTTTGTTTTATTTATTTTTTTCTTTTTTTGAGACAGTCTTGCTGTGTCACCCAGGCTGGAGTGCAGTGGTGCAATCTCAGCTTACTGCAACCTCCGCCTCCCAGGTTCAAGTGGTTCTACTACCTCAGCCTCCTGAATAGCTGGGAATACAGGTGCCCGCCACCACGCCCAGCTAATTTTTGTATTTTTAGTAGAGATAGGGTTTCACCATGTTGGCCAGTCTGCTCTCGAACTTCTGACCTCAGGTGATCCACCCACCTTGGCCTCCCAAAGTTTTGAGATTACAGGTGTGAGCCACCTCGCTGTATCCCAGTGGGTGTGATTGCGCCCACTGTATCTCTGCTTTGTGTTGATCTAGAATGTCTTCCCAGGTAGGTTATGTAGAGATTTGCCTTTGCTTTTGGGTTTTATCATCATGATGGTCATCATTTGGAGTCCCTGATGACTGGAGCCCTCCACAATGTTAGTAATTACTCCAAATGAGGAAGTCTTCCTTCTGAAGGCCAGGTTAGCTCTTGGTGTACTAGAAGGGGACAATAGCTGGCCTGAAGTGAAATTCCTGCCCTGTCATTTTTATCCTCAACAGTTTCCGGCAGCTCCCCAAAACTCTCCGTGTTTTTATTCCCTTCCTCCGTGGAAAGCTATGTTGGCTCCTGGTGACATTACAAAATTTAAATGTGTGAGTAACCTACCTTTAGAAGCAAAAAATCACATTCTGCTGTGTCCTGAACAGGCTACCTTTTTCACCAAAGCTTCTTTGATTGAGCTTCCTAGTTAATAAGACATGGCATTAAGTACAATGTTATGTATAATATGTCAATACAAGCTGTTTTACTTCATATAATACAAGAGTTCTTTTCAGACATATTTAAAAAGTACGAGGATATGGCCAGGCATGGTGGCTCACACTTGTAATCCTAATGCTTTGGGAGGCTGAGGCAGGTGGATTGCTTGAGCCCAAGAGTTCAGGACCAGCCTGGGCAACATGGCAATACCCTGTTTCTACAAAACATACAAAAATTATCCGAGTGTGGTATGCATCTGTAGTCCCAGCTACTCAAGAGGCTGAGGTGGGAGAATCACCTGAGCCTAGGGAGGTCGCGGCTGCAGTGAACCGTGATTACACCACTGCACTCTGGCCTGGGTGACAGAGTGATACCCTGTCTCAAAAAAAAAAAAAAGTACCAGGATAAGCACCAGAAGTACACATACACAGACTTGCAGTGAAGAACCTGTGTTGTCCAATGTGTGTGGCTTACAGGTGCATCCTCACCCTCTTCCTGTTGATGATACCTCTTTTTTGGCTCTTTATACCTATTTTTGAAACAATGAATTAATGGGTGGCCCCTCGCTCCCTATTTTTGAATGAATGAATGAATGAGTGGCCCCTGCCTGTGGACCTGGGCATCCGCGTCTCCTGCACTCCTACCCCACTCCACACCACAAGAACAAGCACCTATGGACAGGAAAGTCCTCACAGAGCTCAGGTCAGAAGGGCAGGAAGATGAAGAATTCCCATGATATTTTTCAGGTTGCTTGATTTCTGTTAAATTTGGCGATGAGAGGGTTAAAGGATTAGGGGAAAATTTTCCCTAACCAATGTGCCATTTCTGTGATTCCTCTACTCTCTCACTAGCAGAGAAAGGTCCAAACTGCACCAGGCACTTGGCTGTCTCTGGCTGTTCACACATCTGAGTCCACCCAACAGTGGACTCTGTGTTAAGGTAAATTGAGAGCCTGTTCTTTTCAACCATGATCCTCGTTTTGCCATCTTTAAGAGACAGGTTGTCATTAATGTTGTGAGAATGGTTTGTTTTTATTTTCTATATTTGGGCAGAGATTACTCTTGTCACTGTCCACAAAAGTGTAACTTGATGTCCTTCCTAACCCCCATGCCAGGTCAAGACCTTTGTTACTTCCCCCTGACTCCCTACCGCTCCCCACCCCCAATGGGGTCTCACTTTGTCGCCCAGGCTGGAGTGCAGTGGTGCCATCTCAGCTAACTGCGACTTCTGCCTCCTAGATTCAAGTGATTCTGTCACCTCAGCTTCCGGAATAGCCAGGACTACAGGCGCACACCACCACACCTGGCTAATTTTTGTATTTTTAGTAGAGACGGGTTTCACCATGTTGGCCAGGCTGGTCTCAAACTCCTGGCCTCAAGTGATCGGCTGCCTTGGCCTCCCAAAGTGCTGGGATTACAGACATGATTCACTGTACCCGGCTGACCTGTGTTACTTGGATTATGAACACCCATCCATGACAGTTTTGCTTCCCTGCCTCCTAGTGGGTGGTATCTCTGCCACTAAAGGTTGATGTGAATGGTGAATGGCTGATAATGCTAAATAATAATTTTCACCTAGGAAACTTAGACAAGGAGACCTAACCCATAGAAATAGCAGACGTTTGACAAATATATGTTATACGAATGAAATGAATAGCGCAAGATAAGAGTGCGTTCTAAAGATTGGGCCCAAGAGGAGATAAAATGGGCAACTAGTCTGGTATTACAGAGCTTCAAGGATTTAATGGTCCATTGCCTTGAAGAGGAGATCCTTGAGTAAACGTTTCCTGGAGACCTCTAAGTCTTCAGTGACTCCCTCTGCTTGCAGGTCATGTACCACGTGCCCCTGTCAGTGCCCATCTCTCCCTATAGTGTGAAACTCTGTTACATGTCTGTGTCTTATAGCTGTTTTTTTTTTTTTTTTTTTTTTTTTGCTACAAGGTCTTGCTGTGTTGCTTGGGTTGAGTGCAGTGGCATGATCATGGCTCACTGCAGCCTCAACCTCCCACTGCAGCCTCCTAACGGACTACAGGTGCAAACAACCATGCCTGGCTATTTTTTTTTATTTTTTTGCAAAGATAGGGTCTTACTGTGTTGCCCAGGCTGGTCTTGAACTCCTAGACAAAAGTGATCCTTCTACCTTGGCCTTTCAAAGTGTTGGGATTACTGACGTGAACCACGGAAACTGGCACCAGCTCACTCTTGAATTCCTCAAGAGCAATGCTGTATTCATGTCTGTTTCCTCCAGCTCTCAGACAAAGGCAATGTATAAACAAACAAACAAATACCTTTTGAATTCCAGATGAACACCATTAGAAATCTCAAGTTATTACATCATAGTTTTGGCATTTTAAGGGCGAGGAACCCAATGGCAGATCAACAGGCTCTCTTTTATTATTTTTGCAAGCATTGTGGTTTTGGGCAGCAGCATCTACCTGGCTCTGCCATATGCTCATTCAGCTTCAACCACAGTGACCTCCTTTTTTTTTGGTCCCTGTATTCACAATGCTCCTTCAAGCCCAGGACTTTTTCACATGCTCCTCTCTCTGCTTCGCTTTTCTCTTTGCCCTCCCAAGTCTTTCTTGTCCTCCACTAGAATGGAAAATGCATGAAGGCCAAGGTCTATGCCTACTTTTCCCCACCTTTGTAGCACAGTGCCTGACATGGATGCAGGCCAGTTTGCCAAAAGCCTATCTACTAAAGAACCCATTCCTGGGGCAAAGGAATATGATTTTTTTATGGGCCCATGCCGGTGACCTTAAGGCCACATTCTGGCTTTTCTTGAATCTTTCGCAATGTCTAGCCTCGTTTCCTCTCCCTATTGGATTGTGGTTTCCTGCTTCTCCCAGGCCTCACTGTCATCTCATGTTCTTCATCTCCTGGAACAACCTGAAACTGATTTCCTTTGCACTCATAAATAGCTAACTTCATGTATTGGTCTTAAATAAGATATCTGATATTACAGAAGACTTTCTTTGACACCTTCTTTTTCCGCCCACCCTCTCTTGGGTTAGATACTGTTTCCAGTGTACCTGTAATGCCCAGCATCCTTCGTATTACATTATAATTCTTAATTTGTGCATCTCTTCCACTTCAGACCAAGTGGAATCATGTCGGGTTCACCTCTGCATCCCTTCGGGCTAAATAAACGTGAAGTCAATGACATTAAAACCCTGTGTGAAGACAATATTATCAACTCAAATGTATCCATAGTATCCGCAACCTCAGAGGACATGCTCAGCTGTTCTCCCATGGGATAGATTTTTGCCTTCTTGACTTTGGGTCTGTGGTATTGGGCAAAAAGCAACAGGGGTCCACAGGGCCGTATTTGTCTTTTTCCAAAGAAATATTTGGCCATTGGAAATACTGCTTCTGAGTTGCAAGATAACCAAAAAACCTTGCATGGGGCCCTAAATCTAGTTTGGGAAGCTTGGGATTGGCCATACTTATCCCTTGGGATGTGTTTGTTGAGCTGCAAATGTACCCTTCCAGGGAAAGTTAAGTTTGACGATGACTTCTCAAGCAGAGTCACCAGACAGCTGTTTTAGAATCCCTGAGAGCCAAAAAAAAAAAAAAAAAAAAAAGTGCTGAAGGGAACAATGGCTTGCTTATGAACTAGGAGATATATTCAACAGATAATACCGTTTTCATCAACCAAGTTTTAAAGAAATTGAGGATAAGACCAAAAAGCAAAGCATAAGGTGACCAAAATGTATTGTGGTTAACGCTGAAGTATAGAGAGCATGGCTCATAACTGGATTGAGGACTTTCCAGTCCTGAACCTAGAATGCGGTAGACTTAGCTATAAGGTTGCCATGTGTTTGGGAAGACTCAGGCCTCACCCAGCAGGGCAGTCCTCTAATGACATGGAAGAGTGGTGCGAAAGAGAGGAAGGGGCAGAGGCCAGGACTCTCGTGCAATTGGTGTGCTTCCTCATGGAATTATTGAGTGTGTCCACTGTGTCGTAGACCCATCACAGTGTCTCTTCCAGTACTTTGTGAGCTCCCTAAGGGCAGGGACTGTGTATACTTCTGGGCACTAAAATGAGTGTGAATCCATGCCAGGCACTCTATGCCAGTCTTTATTGGAAATATATCATTTTATCTTTAATGTAGATACTATCACTTGCCCCGACTTTAGAGATACAGGCACTAAGGTTTGTGGAGGTAAATAACTTTCCCAAGATCGCACAAGTAGCACATGTCAGAGTGGGAAACTGAGCCCAGGAGGCCTGATGTCCCAGGCAGAGCTGCTAACTATTATTCTTTATGCCTCTTGATGGGTGATTCAAGGCCTTGTAGAGTGTTAGGGTATCATTTAATTGATCCGATTATGAAAGTACTAAATGAGGTGATCAGGGGATTCTCTGTCTTGAATCCTCTACTCCTGGCCTTTCATAAATTCCTTTCTCCCTGGCTAGGATCCAGCTGGCCTACACAACTGTCAGTATAATCTCTATCAATATTTACACAAGGGGTCATGCCATCAAAGAAACCAGAGATATATCAGGATTGGTGCTTTCACTGGATGACGTTTGAGGATTGAAGAACTTTCTGTTGACTGGATTTGAAATAGTTGCATAGAAAATATTTTTTTATGTTCCTTGAAGAGAAGTAAACAAGCCAGAGATTATTTCAAATTTATTTTGCTAATTGAAACAATCAAAGCATGACAGTGACCTTCAAACCAGTGCCAGTAAAAATCAAATAAAACCTGGATAGTATATTCTGAGAGTGGTCTAAATGGGTATGCCTTTTAGCAGGGGTTTGTTCAAATGCTTAAATTTTTAAAAACAATGAGGTAAAGCTATGTTTGTTGATATAAAAAGATTATCAATATATAACAGGCATGAGAGAAGTGAGGTGTAGAAAGAAGTTTGTGTGTTTATGAATATCCCTTTGTGTGTGTGAGATACCTTTGACAAAGAATACATACATAGTTACAGATATGTTACTTTTTCAAGAAATAAGAAACTGTAAAAATGACTACGTTTGAATGGAGTGGGAAAATATAATTTCCCTGTTAATTTTTCTGTTATATTCAATTTACTTTTTAAAATGTGGATAGAGATTATCTCTGCAGAGATAAGTCATCTTAGGTTTCTTTTCACTTCTCTTTATTAAAAAACCCAAATGCTACATTTTAATTAAAAATAAATATTAGCAGTTTAAAATTAAGATATGAGTAGTAACTTTGAGAAGAGTGACTAAAACTCCTCTAGTCCCTTTAACACTGACTTCAAATCCACATGAAGTTAACCTGGGGCTGTGGAGTGTATAATTCATATTATTACAGATTCTTGTTAAATAAATGCTGTGTTTGTGTTCTGGAAATATTTTTGTGTACATGCCTGTGCTTCTGGGTCTGGATTTGTGTGGTTGGAAAGAAACACTGGGCAAAGTGAGGGGGGACAATGGGGGCCGAGCAGACAGTGGGGGCTCTGTCACCTTGAGCCATTTCCTTCTTGGAGAGAAAGCTTGAGGGAGGCTCCACAACAGGGCCAGGAGGCAGCCAATATGGAGCCCACGGC